AGAGAGAGAGAGAGAGAGAGAGAGAGAGAGAGAGAGAGAGAGAGAGAGAGAGGACGGTTAGTAGCGGCGAATCCAGTGGAATCGTGGCCCCTCAGCTGATCATCGTTCTTCAACCGTGCCTGCTGGCTCAGGTGMAAGGTCGCATCRCCCCGGACTCYCCTGATGATGATGACCAATCAATAGGCATAATTACCTWCCGATGATRGCCATTTTGGCATATATTTTCCTGTCTCGTGGCCACACACATGTTCCATTAGCACGGCCCCTCCACGCATGTGGCCATGGGGTCCGCTTTTACTGGCCATCTCGGTATTTAMCCCTGATTAAGATGATTGYGCACTCTACATGGGCTTTTTTATGTTTACTGAGGGCCGGGCTTCATTTGCCAGAATTCTTAGACTACCATTTGTGACCCTACATTGGACATACACGAAGAGAAAGAGAATACTAAAAGTTTCTGGCTAAGGAAAAACAAAAAAGATAAAAGAACGGGGCTAAATGAGCCTAAATCAATGGGARTCTTCCCCTTTGATAGAGACCAGGCTCACGGGAGGGGTTAAGGAAATTCATTTCACCTGCTCTTCCTTCTCTCCTATGATTCAGACGCTGGGCAACTGCTGCTCGGCTCCGCGATATGCTCACCCTGGCACTCCTCACCGCCCTTACATGTGGCAGGCAGTCAAAAACTCCTCTCTCGTCCTCGTCTTTCGGATTTCCACAGTTGGCACCCAGGCTTCGACACTTGTCGTTCCACCTTTTGCCTCCTCCTCCCTCCTCCTCCCTCCTCCTCCTTCCGAGTCTCCCCTTTTTCCCACCCCCTCCTCCCCCTCCTCCTTCCGAGTCTGCCTCTTTTCCTCCCCCTCCTCGTCCTCCTCCTCCTCCTCCTCCTCCTCCTCCTCTGTCCGATTTCCACAGTTGGCACCCAGGCTACGAGACTTGTCGTTCCCCTTTTCCTTCCCCTCTCCCTCTCCTCCTTCTCCTCCTCTTGCCTTTACCACTCCTCCTCGTCCGCCTGCCTGTCGCCCTGCCACGCCTCCTTGTCAGTTGATGCGGCGCACCCACCTCCCTGCCCTTGCGGTCTAAGAATATGGCGACCTGTGAAGAGGCACCGAGGATGGAATAGCGCGTGGGAGAAGGCTGGACATCGAGACGGACACCTATTTAGCCGAAGAGGGATCAACCCGGGGCTGAGCCCCTTGACATATGAACAAAGGGCGTACTCACCCTTGTACTTGTTCCATAGAGACCCTACCTGCAGTCTCCACCCGAATAAAACACCCGGTCATTACCGCTGCATCTGGACTGACACGTGTGCCAAATGCAGCTTTAGTGACCGGGCGTTCTACATGGGTGAAGACGGTAGTGAAATCCCGGGTTGCTTTCTGTTCATACGTCCGTGGACGTATAGCATCCCCTAAGGTCACTCCCTCTCCACGTTGTTCTCCAGGGCATGGGGCTCTCTCCACTACTCTCCACATGCACAAAGGACACAAAATAATGGTGGTGTATTTTTCCATGTCCTGGCCAAAGATTCACTCTCGTTTTGCACATTTCGAGACGAGTGGAGGGGGGGGGCATGGCGACCACCACTGTATCCGGCGGGGTGGATATCGTCCACCGTTTTTCTCTCTTTCTTTGGGCCTCGTTCCACTACTCGCCATCCGCCACAGATCGCGGAAGCGATTTGGTTCCACTGCATCACCAATCGCCACGAAATGGAGGCTGTCAGAATTTGGGTGTGATATCACTTGGCGATGTGCCGCCAAGGCTTTCCATTTCCCCTGCCTGCAAAGGCCCTTCGTGGAGGCTCTACTCCTCTCCTCACCCCTCCACGAAATGCTTCGTGTGGCCATTGCCCCTGACACAGCCATCCTGACAGTCGACCTGGGTTGCCCCCTAGTGTTGGAAAGTTTTAGCTGCACCTGGAGTGATTTCCAGTCCGAGTACATGGTGAAGAGAAGGCGGCCTCCGTTTCCATTAGCTCGCCATCCGCCACAGTCCGGAGAGCAGGCCGGGACAGCAACCACAGGGCACGTGGCGGCGGCTATGTAATGGAACCAAGACCCTTTTTCGGCCAGAAAAATGCAGTTTTTGGCCTCGCCACATCTCGCCACTGTGTGTGGCGGATGGCGAGTAGTGGAACGAGGCCCTTTGTGTTTTTTCCAAAAGAAGCTATATTCTTGTCCACCGATTTTTTTTTATTTTTTTATTTTTTTTTTCACAGAAGGTCCACCGAATTTTCGAGGGAAAAGTTATAGATGCTTCAGGTCCCCCAATAACTTTTCTGTTATTCTTGCTCCCCGGTCTGAGGCCGGTAGGGCCTCAGTCCGGGGCTGAGGCYGCGGGAGCTTGATAACCAAGGCTCAAGTTTCCGTTGCCGCAGTCACTTCGTATTTCCAGCCGCCAGCCAACCCAGTTGCACGTGGATGATATTTGGGTTTGGTACATTCAAGAGGGCATAGCATAGCATACTCGCGTCCGCACTTCCTTCACCTCATCTGCGCCGGATTCAAGAAAGATACATCCAAGAAAGTGCAAGTGTGCTGCAGGGCCAAAAATGACTTCCCCCCATTTTTTTATTTTTTTTTTGAAATGTTTGTTTGTATTCAAAAGACAAATGGTAACAGGGGCCGGGGTCCCCACAATTCAACCCGGATCGAACCTCTGGCAGCATTAGCCAGTTTCGCTTTTTACCGCACYGAGAGGAACCTAATGTCRTCAACATTTAAGAACTGGACTCCAGAATCTATGCTAGCCTACCCAGCTCTAAACTGAAACAAGCACTACTGTCGCATACTAGTGAGTACTTCAACAAGTATGAGCAGAACYGAAGATCAACCAATATAGGGTGAGCATATATGCAGCGGAAGTCTGATAAATGGACTGACTCACATAGMCTGTCTCCACATAGATATCACTCCACACACAACAATCGTGAGATGGTGGGGTCTGAGCCAATCATGGACGATGCTCAGGCCCCGTACACACATACACAAATGAAAGGTGGGAGGAKAGACGGAGGAGGTGGGAGATGTAGGTAGCGCCAGATGTCACCGAGATAGAATCCCATAGGTCACCTATATGGTAGTCCAAAATGTCATCGAACAAGATCAAAATGTCGTAGACAATAAGTCACCAATGTCGGGGATACAGAGTCCTAATGTAAACGGTGTCCAATCTGTGATGCCGCGGAATATCAACCCCAACAATCTCCAAGTCCCGAATCCGGTAAGTACCACAGCCTCCTACCACCGAAGTCCAACTCTGATCTCTGTCCAACTAGTATCAAGTCTTAAGTCTGAAGAAGAAGAAGAAGAAGAAGAAGAAGAAGAAGAAAAGAACAGCGGAGAAGAGAGGTGAGGAGGAGGAGAGGAACCAGGAATCGTGGGGGAAGGAGAAGACCTCGCCCCCGAGTACCTGGGTTGCTGTAACTGCTGGATGCCGAAGTCAGCTATGGCTGTCCGCTGTAGGGCTCCTCGCTCGCTGCTGCTGCCGCGCTAGCTGCGCTGCTGCTGCTCCTCTATGCTGCGCTAAGAATAGCGCTGCGCTCCTGCTGTAGAACCGAAACGCATTGGCGCTGATGCAGCATGCCAATGGCTCGATACCCGAGAATGAGGCCGGACCGGTCTTTTGTACCGGCGAAACGAGGCGGGCCTCAATGCTGCGAGGCCTGACCGTGACCTGAACCGTAAAGATCGACGGTTCAGATCAGACCGGCGGGCGGTAGCCTCAAAAGCGCCGCCAGGCCCAAACGGTATGTCGTTTGGGCCTGCCTGTCGGGTCTGGTCCAAAACTGTGGCCTTGACGGCCTGCTGTACCCCAAGTCCGGGCCTTTAGGCCCTACTGTGTCCCTCTGGCCCTAAGTCGGGTCCGGTAGGACCCGTGTGACGTCGAAGATGTAACAACTACCCTATACGATTGTTGGGGAATACATTCTTGGGCTGGGAAATTGTGCTGTGCCAGGATAAGTGAAGGGATAGTGGGGAAGGAAAATTGGACAGAAAAGGTAAAGAGAGGAAGGGGGATGGGAGGAGGAGAGGGGGGTGGGGGCCAGGGGAAGGAGGAAGAAGGGGGGGGGGAGGCTGAAGAAATGTGGGGGTATGGGCAGAAAACSAGGAGGTTTAGAGAAAAAGACAAAGGTACTATCTGAATACGCRGGYCTATACCAACGGCCTAAAACCAGACTAAAACGGCTGGTTGGAGCCAAAAATTTGGCTCCTCTCCTACTGTGACACTCTTCTCCCCCTCCCCCTCAGCTACCCAAGCTGGAGGCCTCCCGTGGCCCAGACAAACCGAGTGCCCTGGTTGTAAAAAGAGATATAGGACTATCCTACCRAGACTACGTTGTGTCTGTCATTCTGAGTTCAGGAGAAGGTACTGCTGGGCTAGGGGAGAGGGGGGGTGAAGGGGTAGGGGAGGGCGAACTACTTGCCAAAAAAACTGAAGYGAGCGTGACCTATTGACTCTCAGCACTGAGCCACGGGGAGATAACCAGCTGCCCTGTGAGTGATATGGCTGCAAGTTTGTTKTCTCTAGTCCAGGTAACCAGGAACCAGTGCCTGCCCCGTGCTGCATTGCCCCTTTGGGCCTTCCTGATCCAATCAACTCTAATCATGGTCCTTACCCAGACTTTGACTTTGCTGATGMTTGCAGCGTCGTGAGTCCATTCCTGTCTGAACAGGATACTGTTTCTGTCTTCCCATATAATCCAGATCAATATGGATCGAATAGCCTGAGCTACATGACCTCTAAGGCTCTACCAACATGCTTGAACCAGGAGGGTGGGAGCTTCCCATGGAGAGCCCATCCCTCATCCCAGAGTAGGGCATCGCCCACGAAACTAGTCCAATGATTGCCCCACCTGTTCCACAGTCTGCGGGAGGCTGGGCAAACCCAAATAAGGTGTTCCAACATTTCTTCCGCATGACTCCCACATCTGAGGCATTTGGTCGCCAAGTCCATGCCTTTCTCGAAGAGCCAGACAGCGCTTGGAATGGCTGCATGMGAGAGCAACCAAGACAAGGCGGCAAGTTTTTGAGAAGGCAGAACCTTTAGCTGATCCCAAAGCTGTAGCAGGTCCCGGCCATGCAGGGAAGGTTGCAATGAGGAAGATGAAGATTGCGCCTGTATCAGTCCGCCGAGTTTTTTGGCTGCCTTCTCTGATAAATCAGGCTCTTTTGCCATGATTTGCCTGCCTATCTTGGAAGAGTATTGCGATAGCCAAACGCTACRATCTCCTGGGAGCTGCCATTTGTGACCCATGGGGTCGATCTTCAAGTTGCTGAGTGGTTTGCCGTCCATCAGCAGAAGATGGACTGGAGTCCGGGTMCCTTGAGAAGYAGTAAGAACTCGGATGAGCTGAAGGGGCAGTTGAGCACTGATGCATACTTCTGTGGGCGCTRCGAGCTCTGGAGGCTTCCCGAAGATTTCTTGTCTGGTCCATTGGTTAGCCAACAGAAGGTCATTGCCCAAGTCCTGTGTGATCTGAAAGATACTCTCYTCATCTTCGCCTGCCTGCCTTGTGGCATACCATTCTCCTGGGACTGGGTCTGTTGTCTGTAGCAGAGCTATCCAACTTGGGGGAATGGCTTGGATGAGTTGCTGTCTCTGCTGTGGCACATGGGGTRAATGGCGTAATTGCAGTTTCAATTGCTCTTCGGGGATCCAATTACATGATTCCTCGTCCCAAATGTCAGCAATGCGCGTGATTCCCCTCTCTGTCCATGATCTGCCGAAGGCCCCTCGGGCTCTTGTTGCCTAGAAGGGAAGGCCGCAGCTATCGAGAATGGCTTGGTTGACAAAAAGGGTCTGTTGTTTTTTTACCTCTTCTCAAGTTGTAGGCGGCTTGGACTGCAGCGGTTGAAGCGCTCTCCATGCCGTCCAGCATGCTGCAGCCAATGTGGAGGAAGGCTGTCGCCGGACGAAGGAGGACATGAAGATACATGCCCAGACGTCCTGACCGCGAAGGAGCCCGAGATCTTGCTGTAGAATATACTCAAGAATTGCCACCCAAGCTCTTGTGTCCGACTGTGAAGCCACCTTACAGAACCACTTGCCCAACAGGGTCAGGTTCTGTGTTTCTGGGTCCAAAATGCCCAGTCCTCACTCCTTGCGTGAGTYGGTAACTTTACTCCAGGCACATTTAGAGATGTAGCGATCTTGACTTTCCGCTTCGGGCTTCCACAGATACTTAGCAGCGTCCGAGCGAATAGCCTTCAAGGTGGGCTTTGATATGAGCATTACGGCCGCAGT